GCTCTGTGTCCAGGCCTTGCCCTCTTGTCCTTCTCTTGGCCGCGCCCCTGAACTCTGTCAACTCTGTGGCTGGGCTCCCTCCTGTTGTCCTTCTCTCGGCCGCGCCCCTCAACTCTCAACTCTGTGGTTGGGCTGTGTGGCTGGGCTCTGTGTCCAGGCCCTTTCTTTTTTTGTCCTCTTGCCCGCCCCCCCAACCTCCTCCTCTTGGCCCCGTCCCTGAAGTCTGTCAACTCTGTGGCTGGGCTCTGTGGCTGGGCTCTGTGTCCAGGCCTTGTCCTCTGTCAACTCTGTGGCTGGGCTCTGTGTCCAGGCCTCGCCCTCCTGTTGTCCTTCTCTTGGCCGCGCCCCTGACCTCTCAACTCTGTGGCTGGGCTCTGTGTCCATCCCTTGTCCTCCTCTTGTCCTCTTGGCCGCGCCCCTGAACTCTGTCAACTCTGTGGCTGGGCTCTGTGTCCAGGCCTTGTCCTCCTCTTGTCCTCCTCTTGGCCGCGCTCAGAGCGTGCTCTACAGAGAGAAAGACAGAGAAAGATCAACTTAAAGAGAAAGAGAAAGAGAAAGAGAAAGAGAAAGAGAGAGAGAGAGGAAAACTTAAAGAGAAAGAGACAGAGAAAGAGAGAGAGAGAGAGCGAAAGAAAGAGAGCAGGTGCTCGATCGGGCGCGCTGACATACGCTCCAGAAAGGGGACGCTCAGAGCGCGCTTTGCAAAGAGAAAGACAGAGAAAGAGAAGCTTGAAGAGAGAGAGAGAGAGAAAACAAGAAAGAAAGAGAGAGAGAGAGAGAGAAAACAAGAAAGAAAGAAAGAAAGAGAGAGAGAGAGAGAGAAAGAAAGAAATAAAGACATAAAGAAATAAAGAAAGAAAGAAAGAAATAAAGAAAGAAAGAAAGAAAAGAAAGCAAGAAAGGAAGGAAGAAAGGAAGAAAGGAAGAAAGGAAGAAAGGAAGAAAGGAAGAAAGAAAAGAAAGAAAAGAAAGAAAAGAAAGAAAAGAAAGAAAAGAAAGAGAAGAAAGAAAGAAAGAGCGCGCTCGTGTGCTATGGACGGCGCGCTCCTATGGACGGCGCGCTCATGCGCACTCTGAAATACGCTCCAGAAAGGCGCGCTCAGGGCGCGCTCTGCAGAGAGAAAGACAGAGAAAGAGAAACTGAGAGAGAGAGAGAGCGCGCGCACGCTCGTGTGCTATGGATGGCGCGTGGGCCTCTTGTCCTTGTCTTGGCCGCCCCTGAACTCTGTGGCTCTGTGGCCCGGCTCTGTGTCCGGGTCTTGTGCTCCTCTTGTCCTTGTCTTGGCCGCGCCCCTGAACTCTGTGGCTGGTCTGTGTGACCCGGCTTACTGGAGAGGAGTGTGGCCGAACAAATAGCGATGTCAATGCCGACAAGAAAATTCATTGATGAAGCAGTTTGCTCTTGGGGTGAAAGTAGGGCATACCAAGAAATCGATTTTTGACTAATATTGGTCTAAACTAATCGTTTTGAAGCTGTTTGGGGTCTATGCTTGTATAGTTTTGTTAAAATAAACAGTGGGCGCTTTAAATAAAGACAACTGACATGTGTTTTCCAATGTCCTGTCAATGCGGATACCTGTGTCACACCCACATCAACGTATACAAGCGGGTGACTGGTAGGCGCGAAGGTTTAAGGTTGGAAACAAAGAGGTGCGAGGCAGAAGGGCAACGGACAAGGGGAATCGCAAGTCAATCGGTGATATATCACTATAGGCTTGCCTGTCCAAGGCTAGCAAGATTGCATAGAAGATCCTGGTTCTACCGTCCTCTAAATATTATCAAATTATACGATGTTGAATATGCAACGCGCACAGCCATCAGAATTGGGGCGACTGCGGCGGCTACAGTTTGCAAAATGGTTGAAGAAAGGGCACAAATTACAATATGTCAGGAAATCGAACCCTTGGTCATACAAAATTGTATAGTCTTTGAATCGTGTCCAGGCCATTGGCGGGCAGATGCTGAGTCTCGCAGAGGCTGCAGAACGGTTGGGCCGTGGTGCCCAGCCTGGGGACCGGCAGAATGATGTGGCGGCACGTCTGCGGACTGTTGCCAAGGACAGCACATCTGGAGACGCAACTCAGATGGGCCTGGGAAAAACACGATGGAAAGAAGGCCGATCATTTGCAGATTCAAAGAGTAAAGTCTTTCACACTTGAACAAGCAAACTCTTTACGATTTAGATCTGCTCAACAAAGTTGTTCGGCGGGCGGATTCCTGAGGAGATCTCTTTGCACATAGGTGCCTTGGACGTTGAGTGCTTGCTCACTATCGCCCCGCGTGAGCAGGCCTGCAAAACCAAAGACTCAGGACGGTGTTGTCAGCAACAGTTGAATCATGAAAGACAGCGCCACCCAAGCCCAACGCCCCCTAGCCTTCCACTTTGCTTATTCCACACCTATTTTTGAAACATCCAACTTAAGTGCTATCAATGCACACCTCGCTCATCTTTCTCACTTGGTGGCGGTGTGCACTCAAAGTTGTCTTCGCCAAGTTCATGCCCTTGCAT